GAAGCAACAATAGCAGGCGGAATGAGTAGTAGCAGTCGTACTTGTAGTGGCAATAATACCACTGTTATTGGTAGCAGAAGTACTAGAGTAGGTAAAAGTGGCAGAAATACCACCAGTACTAGGCAACAGTAAAAATAATGTTAAACTCTTACATTTTCCTGACTTTGAAGACTCATAAAGCATATTGTTTAATAATAAGTTATTATTAATATGTTATTGTTACTTTTACTATTACACGATAACTATTTCTAGTTGTGGCAATAGGAACCTTTTTCGTAGCAGATTGTTTTGCCATAGAGCTTGTGAGAGAAGACACAGTTTGTATGTGAGAAGTTATGTCGGTGAACCGTCAGTAGCTGGAAGCAGCTGTGGTTTTAGTCGTAGCGGAAGAGGCCTTGGTAACAGTCATATATGGAACCTGAGTAGTGGAAGTAGTCCTATCGACTGAAGTAAAACATGTGTCTAGTGGTTGTAACAGCAGTACTATATTAGCAGTAATATTAGCAGTAGTTTACGCCCTCGTAGGACTGTCTTTATTAAAACTAATAGTCGGAGTAATTTTTGCTAATAATAGCAGTGTTTTTGACTGTGATTATTAATGCATGTCATGCTGTCAGCCCCCCTACCAGCACACACACACACACACCCACACACACACACACACACACACACACACACACACACACACACACTCCCCCTGCTCATGTCATCAGTCCAGATCTAGATTGGACTTAATGACTGTGTGCTTCATGCATACAGCCCATAACTCAACGTAACATACTGACCCACTGACTGACTGACCGGCCAGAAGAAAAGTGTGTGTGTGTGTGTGTGTGTGTGTGTGTGTGTGTGTGTGTGCAGCTTCATTGACTGTGTGAGAGAGACTAATTGTGTCTTTTTGATCATGTTCAAGCCTCTGCACGGTGCTCTGTGTGTGTGCGTAGCGTTGAACTAGAGTTTCTATAGAGCTTGCAAACCAAGCTGGTGACGGAACAACAAAAACTTAAACGTAGGTTATTGAAATGCAAACGAGTGCAACGTTTGTACCACGATAGCATGTAGTTATTTGAGTTATGAGCGATCCATCTTTTTTCAGACCAAAGAGAGAGGCAGATGTGGACGGTGTCTCTAGATAATTGTAGAGAGAGTAAGTGGAGTAAACTACAACTCACTACGGTGTCTTTTAGTAAACAATTCGATGTTTTTAATCGTGTTGCAGCAGAAAAAGTAGAATCAAATGTGGAAACAATCCTGACGGTCAAGGCGCCGAAACGGCTGCAAGCATCTGAATACAATCGTCACTCGTGCACGAGTACTGTCCTGTGCTATGTTGTGGCCAAAAGTCTTTGTTTTTCTGATTGTTTCATTTCCTAATTTAAATAAGTTGTGGCAGTCATGTTCTCAGATGTATTATTAATGTATTGTAATGTGACTAATAGGTTCTACAGAGGTCTGTTTGGACTTTGCTGTGCATTAATGTGGGGAAATATGGATTAAACAGGCTATAAAATAAATGAAAAGGCAACTTTATTTCCTTATATTTCACCGGTGTAAACAGATGCGCGTTGGTGTTGTATTCACAGCACAAGAAAACGTTCAGGGCCATAAATGCAAACTGTCGATTCAAAATCTCTATTAAGACACAGCTCCACCACAGCGGCGTAATGTCGCTGCCGTTACAAATGACAGCGATCCACCAAGAGGCAACGCTCGTTATGAAACATTGTTTTCTGTGAAACACTCAGCCGGAAACAAAATATAATTGACGGAGGCAATAAATTGCAAGCTAAATGGATTTTCTGTCTTATCTTTTTTGGAAATGTACTGCATCATTCCCACTTCTAGGAACTTTGCATCCACTCATCCACATTCATATCCAAATTATGATTTTTATCAAGTTTGGAAAGCCGAGTGGAAATTCAATTCAATCACATGTTCCGCAGAACAAAGTTATTAAATTTGATCGATGGGGACGATCTTTCCAGCGAATGAGTGAATCATGTGATGAATGGGGGGAAACTTGAGTGATTGCTGACAGAGTTCCCATGGATGCTCCAGGCTCACAACAGTCTCTGTCCACCGAAACCGTCCAGAAGAGACATTTGTTCTGTCACAACAACGAGCATAAGTCTTCATCAGCTGCTCTGTTATGATGCAGCCAAATGCGTTTCTTTGTTTTTGTCTTCACATGAAATATAACTGACATTAACTGACTCTCTATAAACGGGTTACTCAAATCTAATCAGCTCTTGAAGGACTTTTTTTTTTACTGGATATATTTTTGATTATGAAAGCTGAAGGAAATGCACCTCATTTGTATTTCATATTTAGGGTAAAATTAGCCTGTCCCTCTACCTGTCTGACTCTCTTGTGAGACATGTTTGTCTCATGTTTTTATGATGCTCCTTCTTCTTTTCCATACGTCTGCATGTCGTCCATCACTGAGGATGAGCAACTCCCAACTTTCTGTCACAAGAGGGAGAGACAGACAGACAGACAGACAATCAGACAGAGAGAGACAATCAGACAGAGAGAGAGAGAGAGACAGGGAGAGGGAGAAAGAAGGCAGAATATAAAACTACAGGAGCTTGTAATAGTGTTTCCTTCACATTAATTAGCTGCAGTCATTCCTATAAACATAGTGATAAAACTGATATACCTCCTTTTCTCCCTTTGCCTCTCCTCTCCTCACCTCCTCATCTTCTTATCTCTACTGAAATGTCCTTTCTCCCTCCCTTCTTCTTTCCTCGTATCTCCTCATTTTCATCTGTTTTTCTCTACCTCCTTTTCCTCTCCTCCTTTTGTGTACCCTATATCTAAATTGGGTATAATTACGTATATCCTGTAGCTCATTTATTATCTCCTCTCTCCTTCCATTGCCTCTTGTCTCCTTATATTGTGTTGTCTTTTCTCTCATCTCACACTCCTTCCTATCTCCTTCTTTATTCTCCACCTTTTTGTCTCCCTTCTCCTTTTTCCTCCATTATTTTCTCCTCTTTTCGGCCCGTATCTTCTCCTCTCCTCTCTTCTTATTCCTTCTCCTCCCTTTCCCTGTGGTAACTTTATTTATTCTTCACTTTTTTCCTCCTCTCCCCTTTCCTTCCTCCCTTTCTTTTCTGCCCCTTCTCACATCTCCTCCCTTTTTCCTCCCTTCTTCCATCTGCTCCTCCATCTCTTTTTCCTCTCTTCCTCCTCTCCTCCCTTCTTCTCTCTTCCTTTCTTCTCTTCTTTCCTTCTCTCCTCATTTTTTATCTCATCCACTCCCCCTTTCTCTCAAATCTCTTTTTGACACTTTTTTCTACCATGGTCAAAATAAAGCAGGTAAAAATAATACACATTAGGGTACTGAGTGAGGAAAGGATGGGGAAAGATGGAGAGGTTAATGGAGAGATGGGGGGGGGGGGGGGGGGAGTAGGATGGGGAGAAGAGCAAATAAAGCACGAATAAGGAGACTTAGAAAGTGATGATAACGTGTGGAGTGAAGTCATACGGGTGATTTATTTCTGCCGTGTGTGTGTTGCTTGTTTTCCTGTGTGGGTTTGTGTGTCTACGTGTGTGTGTGTTCTTGGCTGATGTCCTTGACTATATGACTGATAATGTCGATGCTTCAGGTCGCTGTAATAGCAGACTGTGTGTGTGTGTGTGTGTGTGTTCACATTATATGTGAGAAATATTGTGTCTGCTTGAGTACACACACTCCCTCAGGTCTTAAAAACACTGCATCACACACAAGCACACCTTGTTTGTCTTTATAAAATCCTCCTACATACACGTTATTTTAATCATTATGTGTGTATATGCAGTATATACACATTTTTACTCGGTCTTGTCTCGGTCTCAGAGATTGAGGACTCTGGTTTTTATTTCAAGACCATAACTGTGGAAATATTGCTGAACCGCCTGTGCATTGTCTAACTTGTTGTTCTTTTTTACTGTGTTTGCTCATATAAAACTCCCCAAAAAATCTCCCCTGCAATGCCTTTATACATATCATCGTACACTGATACTGTGCATGCACACATGGCAATGTTTTCTGTGGGTGTTTTTAATAGGAAAGTGGATCTTTCACATCAATTTGAGGGGTGTCTGTGGTTTGCATGTTCCACGTGGGTCATCGAGTGTGTCATCGAGTGTGGGACTCGCCCTGGTCTGGTTTTGGTCTTGTCTCAGTCTCGATACACTCTGGTTTTGGTCATGAACTGGTCTCGGTTTAGGCGGTCTTGACTACAACACTGCCACAACACCTCGGCAGTTGTTCCCTCGCTTCTTCCTCCTTCCTGTCCCCCTCTCATCTCTCTACCTCCTTTGTCAGTGGGCGGTTCTCATTTGTCTTAAACACCTCCTCACTTGCGTCTTTTCCTCGCATCTTATCCCCATTATGTAAGAAGAAATGTAAAGAATAAGATGTAAGTGAGGGAAAGGAGGAGACCACCTGCTGAGAGATGGAGGAACAGATCTGAGGATAGAGGAAACACTGTTTGTAATGAAATGAGACATCGTTTCCTCTCAGGCAATGCGACGGTTACAGTCAACAAAACAACAACCCCGCATGTTAATTTGCACCCAAAAGTAAGACCACAAACTCACAAGAAAAACTGCAGCGGAAAAACCACTCAAACATCCAGGGGAGCATTAAAATGACTGCCAAATTGAGAGATTAAGGCTTTTCCAGACAAATGCTGCTCAACGCCTTTCAGCATCTGTTCTTGTATTCCTCACCTGCTCTTGTGTTACGCTGACGTTTAGTGTCGAGGCAGAAAAGCAAAAAATGCATCATTTTGAGGCCACAGAAGATTTATGTCCAAGCTGAACTATTGAGTCATTTTTTTATCAGTAATGATCTTTTCATGAGCAGTCTGAGCCCATGGACTGAGAGGATCTCTTCCTCTAAAGACGCTCAGAAACAGAATTTTTAAAACGAGTCGAAGTAAATATCTCCGCTGTTTTTGACCGTTTGACCAAACTTTTCTTTCTTCCTCTCTCCTCCTCCCGCCCTGCAGGTATTTCGTACTGACTTCATTACGGCCATGAAGCTCCCGGACTCGGCCCAGCTCGGCCCGGACGACTTCTATGTGCTCTCGGACCCTTGGAGACAAGAGTGGGAGAAGGGGGTGCAGGTCCCCGCCAGCCTGGAAGCCATACCAGAGCCTGTGGTCAGGTAGGACACTACTGTTTAAGTACATGAGAGTAGCACACAAAGTATTGTTATCTGTTTCAACTGTGATTCACTACTAGTTCAACCTTTGGCTGCAGAGATACTGTGTCGCCATCTAAACACACTGGCAGAGTTCCCACAGTCACAAAGATCCTGGAAAGGTTATGAGATTTCAACTTTTGTTTGCCTTGACTAATAGTTGTTTTGGACAATTGCCAAATTGTCAATGGACTTCTGGAATGTGAGATTGTAGTTGGTACAACCTTCACAATTCAATTTGGTGAAATTGAAAGAATAACTGCACACTTAAATGTGTGTTTTTTTTACTTTTTTAGTGACCACTGTGTATCGTTACAATCACAGCAACAGCCTGTTCCCTCCTTTCTTTGGACAGTAAATGAACACTCTTGGTTTAATCTCTTCACCCCTTTTGGCATTTTTCCAAAAATTATGCTGCGGGTGGGAATACATGCACACACGCACCTCCAAGCAGAAATCCACCATCTCTTGCTAATTCATACACAAACGCACACACTATGGGTTTGAATGCACGTGAAACATGAACACAAACACACACACAGAAGCAAGCTGGTAGGCAGATGTGTGCAGACATGCACTTCGACCCACTTAAATTCATACTGTAGATTAGTCTGGGCATGCTCTCTCTCTCTTTTTCCCCAGTAGGCTGTTGTGGCTCTCTAGTACTACTGCAGCTGCTTCACATACCCGTGTGGTTTGTTTGGTGTTCTAGGAACTCATGAAAATGTTAGACAGACATGTCAAAATGGGAGGCCACACACACACACACACACACACATATTCTCTTTGGGAAACAGACAAATTATCCAGTCATGTGAGATTTGGACAAATGTTGCACTTTGTTTTTTCCTGCTTCGAGAAAACCAGATGCGGAGGAAGCTCACTCTCAACAAAAAAGACAAATGAATGAAAAGTAAAAGCTTCGTCAACTCAGATTTCATAGCAAAGTGACATATTTGGCTGCATTTTAAACAGACAAAAAGCTGCTGAACATGATGTGTTGAAAATGAAAAGGCTGAGTAATAATGTGGTAAATGTTTTCCACCTCTTCTTTTTGTCAGAGTTTAAATGCGTTTTCCTCTCGTCTCTGCTCTTGACTGGAGTTTAAGGCCTTTGGTCCACTTTGTCATGTCTTGTTCCCCACTCAATTCAAGGACTTTGCTGCAGCAAGTTAAAAAAACATAAAATAGTCATTCAGTCTGGTTGGTCGTAAAAGCTGAAAACAGTTTTGCCTTGCTTAATAGCAACTCTAACCGCATTTGAAAAAGAAAAAAGAAGCCTGTTGGATCCAAAAACATAAAATAAACACTTCACAACAAAACAAACAAAAGATAAATCAAATCTAGTGTTGCCAAATATAATGGCATACCTAATAAGGGAACTAGAGAACCTGAAACACATTGTTGACTCTCATGTGAGAAGGCTTGCATTAGCAGTTTTACCTGCATGAAGTTTCTATTAAGTTTCTAAAAGTTGAAAAACAAAAAAAAGTGCAGTTAAATGAAGACCAATGGCAGTGCAGTAGTGCCTTAAACTTGCATTCTCTCTAATGTCCACCAGGGGGCGACTCCTCTGGTTGTATAGAAGTCTATGAGAAAATGACTCTACTTCTCTCTTGATTTATTACCTCAGTAAACATTGTAAACATGAGTTTATGGTCTCAATCTCTAGTTTCAAGTCTTCTTCAATACAGCATGAAGCAGTGTTTGCTAAAGGGGCGGGGCCACCCTATGATTGACAGGTTGCTTCCACAGCGTTGTCTGGTCCGGGAGTTGTCCTAGTTTTCGTCTTACAACTTTAACCCTTTCACAGTGGGTTTTCAGTTCATGAAAGTTGTTTGTAACATTTTTGGTCGCCTAAAAATGCCTTATTCAGTGTTTGGTTGCAAAAACCAAGATGGTGACGAGTCGGCCATGTCCACTTCTTATACACAGTCTCTGACAAAGACAGAAGAATGAACGATTTCCTCAGAGTCTTAATGAGGGCAGAAGACAAAGTTAATAAATAACAGAGAGGAAAATACAAAAGACAATCTGGATCATCTTCATGATTCTAAGATTTAAAAAGGATAAATGTGTCGCGCTCACTGTTTGCATTGTCTATTAGGTTAATATCTCAGAGGACACACACACACACACACACACACACACACACACACACACACACACA